GGCAGTGGCCAGACTGGACACCACTGACCGCGCAGAGGAAGGCCCAGCCCCGGGGCTGCCGCTTCCTGTCACGTTCTTGGATAAGTCCGGCGTGCGGGTGGCGGCCTCCCGGCGGGAGCGAGACACAGACGCCCCGGAGCAGGGGCCCGCGTGTGTCTGCAGGGCCACGGTGGTGACATGGGCAGCGAGGCCTCGCCCTCGGCTTCCAGTGCTCTGATACTCGGCGGCCGACTGTGCGGCCTGCAAGGCAGGGAAATGCAGCCTTCGCCGTTGGGAGTCTTTGTGGCACCCTCCGCCCCCGGGAGCTGTTTTCCGCAAATTGTTCATTGGAAAAGCGGAATCCGGAATGCGCCAGCGCCCCGCCAGCCCCTGCGTCTCGCTGCCCGACCCAGGCCGTGGCCGCCCCGGCACCTGGACCCGCCATCCAGGCGCCGGATAGAAAGACACCTTCCAGGGCGGGATGCAGGGCCGCTGTCCAGGCCTCACAGTGCTCTCCTCGGAAGCTTCCAGAATACAACAAGTAGAGTCGACACTCAGACCCCCACTGTCCCTGAACAAGAGGCCGGTGCGCCAGATCTTAGTGCTGTGGACTAGGGAAACCGCACAGAGATCACAGGAAAGACACAACCGCTGTGGGCAGTGTCTGTGCCCCGGAGATGGCGCAGGCACAGGACCCCCCCGGGGCGGCTCCGTGGCCACTTCAAAGACACAGCAAGCCCCTGGCCTGTGGAAGTGTCCGGAGAGTAAGGTCTTTGGGCTCAGACTCTGGTTCCATCCCTGCTCCGTCCCTTCTGTGCTGGTTGCCGCTCCCGCGGGGCTCTGGCCGGGCCCCTTCCAGGACACAGGCCGTCCCCCCAGGGGTCTGGGGAGGAGCAGACAGAACAGTGTCGGCCGCACCTCCACGCGGAGCAGCGGTGATGGTTCCCGGGGCAGTTCACTGGGCGGGCCCTCGGCGCCGTCCCGGGAGCCCGCTCTCCAGAGCCCCGCCGTGCCGTGGAGGTGACGCGGAGACGCCCTGGGGTGCCCTCGGGTGCCGGCTGCTGGTTGGTGCCGGACACTGCCGTGGCTCACGAAGAGGCGGCCCTGGTCTCTGCCCCAGCTCCGCTCCCCCCGGGGGCCCTGCAGCTCCCTGGCTGCCATTGTGGCCAGGCCCCACCCCAGGCCACGTGTCCCACGTCTGTGACCGGCAGCCTGGTGGACATCCCGTCTCCTTTCACCGTTGGTGGCCATGGGGCCTTTCAAGGCGCAGCACGGTGGGCAGCCCTCGGCGCCTTCTCCTCTGCCCTGCCTCGGGCTCAGACCTTGCCCTCCTTACCTGCATCGGCCCGGCCAGGCGCTGCGTGCGGCTCTGAGGGCCTCGGGCACGGCCCTGAGGGTGCTTGGCCCGGAGAGGGAGGGGCCGGCGGGGGTGCTACCATGAGTGGCTGCTCCCCGTCCACTTTCCCCGCGTTGCCCTGAGCGTCTCCCACCTCGAGTGCCCAGCGCCCCACTGGAAACCCCCAGACTCTGGACATGCATGACTCCCCATGGGCTGACTCTGTCCTGTCCTGAGGGTAGGGAAGCTTTGCTGAAGAACGGGAAGCTGCGAACCCCAGAGCCCTTTGGGGGAACAGCGTGCCATTGGGAGTACCAAGAATTTGATAAGGTTGATGGAGTGACTCTTTAAAGAGAGTTTTATATTTCTACAGATTTTTCCAATAAATGAACTAAATTTGTCCTTATGGGCAAGAGTGGAAAAAACCTATTTAAGCAACAATTTGATGAGGAATTCCTATTCTTCTTTTACGTTAGCTGCTGTCTTTTTAACAGATTCCATTGCTAATGGATAAACATTTTATTTATAAGAAGCTAAATTCTTTGGGAAAGAGGAATCTACCTCTCCAAGTGTGTCCGACCTTCCGCACTCACCGCGCCGTGGTGGAAATACACCTCCCAGACCAAGGCTACCGGAACTCTTCATATGCCACACTTACAATATTAATAACAGCGTTTCTAGAAGTTGTCACGTCAAGTAAAAGATCTTCATTCCAGGCTGTCTTTTGGGGCCACATTGAGACTAGATGCATGCATTTAATAAATTGTGGTCTCAAGTAGTCATTTTTGTAAATAATTAGTTTCAGCGAAAGAATAAGTTAGCATATTGTATGCATCTAATGTTGCAATGTACACACAGCAAACTTTGCTATTAATCAACAGTCAAGCCCCGCAAGTGGGTCTCATACATAATGAATTGTGCTTAAACCTCCTGGGTTTCTTGATAGAAAAATAAAAGAAAACACAAGTGTAGTAGGCTTTTGAATAAAATTTAACTCGATTGCTCTGCATCCTGTAATTGTTTTGGAATCATTAGGGACCTGATAATTCATCTATAGTTTTGGGGTGTTTTTATCTTCATCTGTCAAATAGTAGAGGTTTTTAATGATATGTTCAAGTCTTGATAAAATACAGTTTTCCTTTTAACCATTTGAACATTTAAGGGATAAAGTAAATAGCCTTTTTTAAGGCATTCTAGCCTGCCAAGTGTAGTGTTTAAATTGTCTTTTAAAAACATTTTATTATCGCTGATGTATTTTTAAGAATCAATTATTTTTAAAAGGAAAAAATATACAGTTCTTGCGGCATGAACCGTAAATGGGGAGGATTTGAAAATTTACATAAAATGTTCTGTTCTTGGCAAGAGTTTTAAAACACTACAGTAAATTCCTCTGTGGTCTTACTCTGGTTCTGACATTAATTTGAGCCCCACATTTTGAGGGCTAAGGAGGCCTTTAAAACCTCGCGTACAATTCCTGCAATAGAGCTGTGACCGCCCAGAGCGTGGATGGGGGGCCCAGCGCCTCCTCCCACGGCGACCCCGGCCTCTGATGGGAGCCCCGCGGGGACCACAGTGCAGCCCGGTGGGCTGAGCAGAGGCCGGACGCTGCGTGGCTGCCCGCGGCCACCGACCAGGCTAGACAGCACCTCGCTGGGGCCGCGTGTGCTGGGAAGGAAGCCCCTGCGCCCGCGGCCCAGCGCCTCCAGAACGGGCTGCCGCCACCCCAGCACCGCCCTGCGCACCGGCTCCTCGTCTGGCCCACGCGTCCGCATGGCTGTTCCCACTCACACTCTCCCTCGCACAGTGGGGCACGCCTGTCCGCATGCTGTGCGAGAAACCAGTGAGGGGCACAGGCGGCGTCACTGAGAAGGGCTCGGGGGCGGGCAGCGCAGGAACCCAATGCTGGCTGGGGGCTGCTGCCCAGGCTGGGGTGCTCCTCACGTGCCCCACACTGCCATGTGGGCCAGGCCCCACTGTCCCTTCTGTTCTTTCGACCCCAGAGGTGGCCAGTGGGCCAGTGGGGCTCTTGCAGAAACCCTGACGCCTGGGGCTGGGGCTGTGCATGCCGCGTCGAGGTGTCTAGGCCCGCTCCTGGCACAGGGGAATGGTCTCAACAAAGCACGTCCATTCTGCAGCCACCAGCCAGCCCGTGCCCAGCATGTGGGGACAGGCAGCGTGGCGCTGTTGTCTGGGGTGTCCTCAGCGGACCTGAGCCGACTGGCTGCTGGGCAGGTCTCAGGCAGGGTGGTCACTGCCTCATCTGCCTTCTGGCGACATCAGCCCAGGCTCGGTCTGCTGGCCACGGGCTCCCAGGGCCGGCCACACGCCTGGCCCCAAGGCCAGGTGCCCAAACCGGGGACTTGGCCACAGGTGCTGGCAGCTCAGCGCTGGGCAGCTGCTGGCCCCGGAAACACGGGGTGGGCTTCACGTGCGCGGCCAGGGCCCTTAATTGCGGGGGTGCGGGCTCGTGGGCAGGGGGCCTGGAAACACCCCGCAACGAGGCGTGTCCACACTGCGTGGTGCCGTCACGCGGCTCTCCCGGGAGCGCCGGCCAGGCTGGGGAGAGGGCAGGGCGGAGAATAAATTTCATTTTATTGTAGAAATGGAAATTTGTGTCATGGCTTTAAAAATCTGTTTTATGTGTGTGTTTAATGCCATTCATTTTAAATGTAAGATCATAAATCCTGGCTTTGGAATCAAAGCTGTTTAATTACATTTCACCCATGAACAGTTATCTAATGCCAATAGAGAAAGAGTTAAACAGGAGAACTACAGAGTAAATCAGAGGTTGAGATCTTTAGCACAAGCATAAAAAATCAATTTAAGATGAATTTTACTACTATAAAAATTCTTCAGATATCCTGTTAAGAGCAGGAGCGGCTGGGAAACAGCTTTCCTTTCAGTCCCCTCGGCAGCAGGAAGCCGCTCCGACCCCCCCAGCACCCAGGGTCCCCGTGCCACTCGGAGGGTCTCCGGCAAGGCGTCGCTCGTGAGGAGAGCGGGCAGGAGCGCTGACCGAGGCCCGTCCTCCTGGACGCCTTCGCAGCGGCCTCCCATGAGGTCCCCCCGCCTGGCAGGCCCATTTCCTCCCATTCGATGTCCGGGCACCCCAAGAGTCATGGTGTCCTCCTACCCCAGACCTTCCCACCTGACCCCCCACTCCCAGGAACAGCAGGTGCTGCTGTCCAGGCCGTCCAGGCTCCCTGGGGCCTGGCGAGACCCGCGCCCGGGGGCAGCAGGAGTCTCAGGCAGGCGACCGCAGTGGGTTTAACCGTGGGGCAGAGAACAGGGGCACACGGCCCAACCAGCGGGGTGAGCTGACCCAGGGGGGTCCCAGGCACAGAAGTTGGGGCCTGAGTGTGCCCCCGAGGAGCCCCAGAGGCCGCACTCGGGCCTGTGAGGCATAGCTTGGGGCCCCAGCGCCATCCCCACCCCCCCGTAGCATCCTGGTCAGTATTTTAGATGTGACCACTCGGTGGTGTTACAGATGACCACAGCTGCCCTGAGCTCAGTCCTACGGCGGCTATGGGTCCCGGGGATGGTGGCCCGAGAGAGGCCTGGCAGCCACCGCTGCCGCCATGCTGCCCCTGCCTCGCCGGCCCCAAGCCCAGGAACCCGCGCGGCTTTCCTCCCCGGACGCTGGCGAGGCCTGGGGATTCACCAAGCTCCTGTGCTCCTTTTACAGCCCCACCACGGCCCCTGAGGCCCCCGAGCCACCCGACGGACCTGCGGAGGCGCCCGAGCCGCTGGAGCAGTGCGCGGCCTGGCTGCAGGCCTATTTCCAGGAGCCCACAGCCGTCGCAGACCTGCCCCTGCCGGCTCTCCACCACCCCGTCTTCCGGCAAGGTCAGTACCGCGTGCCCGGGCGCCGCGCCGAGTGCCGGCTCTGACTCTCGCGCCCCACGGCTCGTTCTCCCGACGGCACCCACCGGTGCTCTGGCGTGGTCTGGCGGGCGTGTGAGCCCGCATCGCTCCGCAGAGACGGTGATTCTGGGGCTGTTGTCCTGCCAAGGAGAGAGCGGGGCGTATCCTCGCTCCCGGTCAGCTCAGCTGCCGCTCCCGGGCCAGGCCTGCGAGTGGGTTTTCACGCTCAGCTGCGGCTGTGAGGCTGAGGGGTGTCGCCCCTCCCCAGCTTTAAAGGGCTTTCGTCATAACTGGGTGTTGACATGATGATTTCTTGGCACCCGCTGATGTGCCCCTGGGGGGTATATTTCCTGTGTTGATGTGAATTTTCGTGGTTGAATTTGGGTGTGGCCCCATCTCTGCGTCCCTGGAGTAAACGGGTCCCGGCGGGATGTTAGTGTGTTGCTGGATTGGTTTGCTAAGACTTTGTTGAGGATTTGGGGAGCTTTGACGTCCTTCGGCGTGTGTTTTGTTTGCATCACACTCTTCTCCTGGAGCCAGGCCGGGGCTGCCTCTTCCGCCTGGTGTCAGGTGGAGTTGCGGTGAGCCGTCCCGTGCCCAGCCCGGCTCCTGACCTCCCGCCGGCCCTCGCTGTCGTCCCTCCAGACCACCCCACTTTGTCCAGACCCTTCAGTGCCATGAGAAGCACCGAGTTCGTCTTTTTAGGGCAGAGTAGAGCCGCACGGAAATCCCCCCTTTCCTGTTAAAGCATCGGGCGTTGGAACTGTCGTGGGGTTCAGCTGATCATCTTGAAATTTCCAAAGGCTGGTTAGTGACAAGCTAATCACCTGGACGTTCCTGGCCAGGAGCGACTGACCAAAGCCACGTGGCCGTTGAGGGTCAGCCCTGGAGGCGGCTGTGAAGGCGCGTTCTCCCTCCAGGCTGTGCGTGACGGGCCTGTCCGCAGCTCGGTGAGCGTCCTGTGGGTGTGGACGGGGCGCACGGCCGCCCTCCAGCCTCGGCCTCCACAGCCAGCCGCCCCCACGCTCTCGCCAAGGTCCGTCATGTTTATTCTTGATTCATTTTTCTCCAAGGAGCGATTGTTTAACAAAGCCATTATTCCTGAGATACACTTTTACATGATGTTTGTCATGAATAACTTCTTTGAACTTCTTTCCCGCTTGTCTCCCGCCCTCCTTTGTTCACTGTGACAGCCGCTGCTCTGGGACGCGTCTCCAGGCCCCGGCAGAGGCCGGCGGCCAAACCCGCGAGAAAGACGGGCCGCGCGTCCCGGGCAGCTCACCGCCGCGGTGGTGTGGGCACTCCCCGCGCCCCCTGTCCGGGCGAGGCCCTCGCGGGCGAGGCTGTCCAGGCTGCAGGGGGCGGACACACCCGCCGAGGCCTGGTGCTGGAGGTGCTGTGGACACCCCTGGGGTCCCTGAGCCGGGAGTGGGGTGGACCTCGGCGTCCCTGTGCCGACTCCCGGATGAGGGTGTTAGCAGGCGGGGCTGAGTTGGCTTCCTAAAGCGACCACAGTGCTCCCTTTCAGCAAAATGTTTAATAATTCCTCTGCCACAGCCGTCATCTCGTGGCTGTGAGACCAGTCGTGTGTGCGTGTGTGGAACCTGCTGGCTGGAGGTTAAGATCCGTCACTTCCACTGCTGAGCCTCAGAGAGGATTCTCATGTGTGTCTCTCTCAAACCCACCTTGGGCCTCTCCCAAAGCCCTGCCCGGGAGTTCCTGGGAAGGCCCCATCGGGGGAGAGTTCATTGATGCCCCCCTGTGCCCCGGGTACCCTCCTTCCAGGTGGGTGTGGACAGCGGGGGCAGCCGCGCCATCACAAGGGGTCCTCGCCACGGTCCGCCCCTGGGAGAGCCCAGCGCAGCCCCCTCCAACCAGGCAGCCCTCAGGCACAGCAGCTCTCCCCACCCCGGCTGTCACCCCGTCCAGGGGGCCACGGGGCCGGCCGGGGGACTCCCAGGAAGGAGGCCCAGAGCCCTCCTGCCCAGGGCCCTGCAGCTGCGCAGCCCCTCACGCTGGCTCTCGGGGTGGGGGGCGGCCCAGTGCACCGCGGGGTGCTGGTGGGGGGCTTCCTGGGAGCCCCCAGTCTGCAGGGAGGAAGCTCAGCCTGCTCAGGCTGTGGGCACTGATACGCCTCCTCGGACTGAAAAATAAAATGCCAGTTGGAAGCCGCAGCTGAAGTAGGGAGTGTGCTCCCGGCTCCGACTGGCAGCCGCCGCAGCCCCAGCCTTGAGCGCGGCGCTGTAGAAATCGCTGACCTTGCCGAGGACCACCTGGCGGAGCCCGGAGGTTGGCGAGCCCTGCGATGCCCGCTTATTGATCAGGACAAGCTGACAACACTGCACTTAAATTAAGTGGGGAAGAAACAGCTGGGAAATGCGCGTCCTCCAGCCCTAGAGCCGCTGTTCGGGCCCGAGATGTGGCAATCCGGCGCCAGGCTTGCAGAGGCTGACGCTTGTGCCCCGAGCCCGGCCTGCCCCTGGACGCAGGCCCGAATGAGGGGGCGGGAGCACGGGCAGACGCCTGCACTCGACACGGAGGCGGAGCCGCGCCCTTCCCACCGTGGAGACTGAAGCCCGACGCGCCCTGTGGCTTCCAGGCAGGCGGGGAAGGTGGCAGGAGCCCCGGGAGCCAGGGCGCTGGGCGGGGAGCAGCCGGGGTCGGGTGGGCTCCCCTGGGTCATTTGTCTGCCACCGACTCATCAGGACTCAATTAACCTGTCCCTGAGAATCCTCTCCGAAGGGCCCGGTGCTGGCCTGGGTGCTCCCTGCCATCCCTGCCAGGGGCCTACGCTCCTGGGGACCTGCCCCATGGGCGGGCCCCGGACCTCCCCTCCTCCTGGCGGCCTGGCCCTGGTGCTGGCTGGCCCCAGCCCTCCGGGGACAGAGTGTCAGTCACCGGGTTCGTGTTGGGGTGCCCTGGGCGGGGGCTCCTGCCCAGCAGGGTCACCTCTGCAGGGAGGCGCTCGTGGCCAGCGCTGGCGCGGCCAGCGTAGAAATTGACACAGTCCCCTCAACTCCCTCCTGCCACCGCCTAACGTTCTGGCCCAGCCGGGCACTCCATGGGCCAGAGTGCCAGAGGCAGAGATGGCGCAGGTCTATCCGTGCTTGATTGCCCAGTTTCACTCCTGGCCCCACCACCAGCCCCCACCCTATGCAGCCAGATCTTGGACATGGAGTTTTGTAGTTTCGACTCAAGCAAACATCTTTTCCTCGTTGCTCTTGTGTCCCAGACCTTCATGGCTGCATGTGTCAGAATAATCTGGAAGCCGTCTCGCCGCGTCCTGACTGCAGTGTCCGCACGGCTCACCTCCCTACCACGTAGCAAGGACCTTGGGCGGACATCGCCGTGCACGCGTGTCTGTGTGTGAGCACACTTGTGTGTCTGTGTGTGTACGTGAGCACACGTGTGTGTCCATGAGTGTGTGTGTTGCCTGCTTTAAGCATCGGTGCTCCAAAGACTATCTGCCTGGCCCAGCTCTGAGGAGCCTGCCGTGCTCCGCCCTGCTCAGCTGGATCGTTCTCACGAGCTGCGCCGTAGACACGTATGTGTGTGGTTTAAAAGTGCTTTGCTGTGTGGTCTGGGTGGTTGACAACACCAGTAAGTCTAGGAGGCCTCCCTGACCCAGACCTTCGCCAGGGAAGAGGGGGGCTGGCCAGTGTGGGGCTCACCGTCCGGATTTGAAGGCGGGAGCGAGAGGCGGTGGTCCGCGCCTCTGCGGCCGGGTCGCCTGTGCTGGAGGACGGTCCCCGCCCAGCATCTGGGCCTTGCCTGGTTCCGACTCTAGGATGCCCCCTGGGCAGTCTTAACAAAGCTGACCAGAACTTGAGAAGATACCCGATTTCCTTTGGCAAAAATGTACTTTTTGCCAAAAAATAAAGCTAGCTAACAAATTCCAGGTTCTTCCAGGACCCGGGAGCAGTGGAAGTGGACAGTGGATGGCCCGAGGCTGCCCTGGGTTCTGGTGTCCACGCCCAGCACGCAGAGCCCTCCCCCAGTCGGCAGCGCCAGGGGGTCCTGGGCCTTGTCTAGTGAAAGTTTCACCCTAAATCCAAGGGGTGGTCCGATCCTAAGTTCCCCGAGGTTTCCGTGAGCCAGGCAAAGACTATGAACATGAGGATGCCTTCGCGTACAGCCCGAGGTCAGTCAGCATAATCCAGCCGCGCGAAAGGTGGCCACGGGGTTGCCGGAGAGCCAGCTGCTCCGAGGCCTTTAGGGAAGGAGAGAGCGTCTGCTGCGGACCCGCGGCGCTTACGGTGCTGGCGCGAGTGTAGGTCTTGCTCTCATGGAAATACCTTCAGGTGTGACGGTGGGCGCTCCACGGCGATCACTCAGCAAACTGGCGACGTCTGAAGACTGTCCCCCTATGCTGGCTCGCGGGGAAGACGCCGTCGGCCGCGTCCTCATGCTGGGCTGGGGCGGTCACCTCAAGAAAGCAGCAGGGAGGGCCTCCCCGGTGGCGCAGAGGTTGAGCACTGTGTTGCGGGGCTGCCCGCGGCTTCTGCAGTGCCGGTTCGATCCCCGGCTGCTCCCCGGCCACCGGAGGAGGGTCCCACATGGCGCGCAGACCTCTCCTGCCGCCCGCTGCTCCCCTCAGCAGTGTCCTTCGGTCCTTCTGCCTGCTCTGCTCCCCGCTCTGGCTCTGGTGAATTCTCTCACCCTCCCGCGCTTCTGACTGTGCCCAGTGCTTGTATAAATAAATAAATAAATCTTTAAAAAAAAAAAAAAAAAGCAGCAGGGGCGGGGTCTCTGCCCCCAGCAGATGCCAGCTGCGTTTCGCTTTCTTCAGTAATTCATCCAAAATGGGTTTTGAAATTTTGAAGTTTTTTATCAAGCATATGTGTGGGGGGGGGTGGGCGGGGAGAAGACACTTGGCCTGTAAAACTGTTCATACGGTTGGTCGTGGCGTGCTGCTGCCAGGGCAATGCTGATTCTGCTTGTTACACAGTGTCCCGTGTCCCCATTCGATAGGCACTGGGAGC